ACTACAACTACAACAACTACTACGACTACTACTACCACTACTACTACGACTACTACTACTACTACTACTGCTGCTCCTGCTACTTTACTACGACTACTACGACTACTACTACCACCACTACTATTACAACTACAACAACAACAACTACTACTACTACTACGACTACTATACTACTGCTACTACTATTACTACTACTCCTACTCCTACTCCGACTACTACTACTACTACTACTACTACCACCACTACCACTACACTATCACCAATGCCATCACAACGTTTGGGCTACCATCGGCATTACCGTTTCTATGACCAAAGGTACAAAACTAGCCGAGCATGAACCTGACGGGGCTGAACTTAAGGCGCCCTCACACCATCCCAAGTGGCATGCACATGGTGATTTGGTCAAAGAGCGCGGTCCTGCGTGAGGCAGGACTTCTCTCTCGCACTGTTCGTTTCATTTCTGGAGCAGTGCAGCATTAAGCCGTTCAACCCATAACCTTCCAGCCGAATGCGACAGTCAGGGCCTTGCCTCCACACCCGAAGCATCTGAAACACCGACACATCCATCGTCTGCCTAGCAATCTGGCGGATGAAGCCGGTCGTATGGTAGTACTCGGCTGCTTCCTGTCGTGTTAAAGTGAATTTTGCACGGGGTGGGGTCATCAGTTTCCTGCAGCAGCTCGGGTGGGACTCGTGTGCGAAAGCCCATCCGCATCCGAATTGATTTCGTTCTGTTCAACCCCCGTTCTCATGTTCAAATTCACACACTCTTTCGCGAGTTACATCGACTCGCTGGGAGAAGTTCTCTTCCGAAGATCGGCCAAGTACACATGACTTGCCTGCAAGTTTGCGTGGGGCGCACACACCACCACCACTTCGTGTCGCAACTTGAACATGCAGAATAATAGGCTTTCCTTTCCAGCCTATGAATCTCGGGAATACCGTCTACAATCCCACAAATAGTGGCAAGGCTGATGCGACCAACTAAGCAGCTGTGCTCATGTACATATATATATATATATATCGTGGATGTACTGTTCCCATCGCAGCTCGAAGCAACAGCAACACCTACCCCTTCAACGCTTAGTGGAGCTCTTGTGAGCCAGGTGCGATTTGACTTGCGGAAATCTATGTAAAACGCGGTTCCTGTTCCGAGAGACTGATTGCAAAGGGCTGGGAGGCCCGCCTTTTTGGTTTCGTCTTGTCGGATCTGCTCACAGATCATTGCCTGCAAAGGATGAGTCGAAGCTTTCCAGCTAATGATCCAGAGCACAACTTTTTGCACATGCGAAAGCGCAGCTGAGGCATTCTCGCAAGGAGACTACAACCAGGTGTGAAGCACGGACCGACACAAATCCGTAGTCATCGAAAATCATCGACGAGTTTCTACCCTGTCTTGGCATGCATGTCGCTGACATGGAAGTCGGATTTCTGTGAGCATCTGCCACAACTGCAGCCGCGTTTCGTCACGATTTCCGTCTTTTGGAACCCTAAACCGCCCCTACAGTAGATCCAGCTTTAAGCTTCAGGTGGCCTTGATGTCAGAGGAATTCCGGAAGACCTGGTGCTGCATGGCCTGGCTGCGAGGTGCCGACTTCCGCATCCAATCGTCCGGGCGGGGAAGGCATACACATTGCTGAAAGTCTCGTAAGTCACAAACAAAGTCTAGGGATCATGCTGAAAAGCTGTCGTCACTCTCTGTCTCAACTTCGTCCTCAGAGGACTGCCTAGGTTACACAGGCTGCTCGATTCATTCGGGGCCGTGTTGTGGTATCTCCCTGCTTCGTCAAGTTCCCTGTGTTGTATCGGCATAGCAGTATCATACTTCTTTCTTTGCTGTCACCACAGTAGCTAGAAATTTGTGTGTGTGTGTGTGTGCGTGTGTGTGTGCGCCTATACGCGAATGCAGGCGGAGGTGATGCAACAGAATCGCAATCTCAAGCGTACAAAAAGCCTTCAATCTGACAACACAAGCGCATGATTTTGCTAATCCTTTCCCTCCCCAACGGTGTCAGCTGCAGGGTGTGACAAGATGATATGCACGCATCCATGTAGGACGTCAGCCTGCAGCAACCGTGCAAACTCTACTGAAGCCGGAATCGACTCCAAGCTTCCTGCGGGTGGCGCACCTCGCTGTGGGGTCGGCTGGGCAGTGATCGGCTGGAGCAGGGAGTCTGCAATCCGCTGCAATCCTGCAGACATAGGCCGTGCTTGGCATCCCTTGTGCCTGCAACTTGGAGTTGCAAAGTTTGTTTAACCGACACTGACCTTTTCGTCCTGTTATCTCCTCTCCATGGCAGCTTCTGCTCCTTACTAGGACTCCTCCCGAAAGCGACGCAGTTTTCAACCCAGGCCCTGCCTCTCGTGGCCGCGCCGCGGCCGGCTGCCTCGGAGAAGTCAAAAATTCTGGCTCCAAACCTTCGGGTTCTTTTTGAGGGGCTCCGGGTGATACCAGCTGACTCCTGGGCCGGGAGGGGCAATTCGTGGTTCCCAACGAACTGTGTTAGCAGAAGGCAAGATGCAAGAACTGCAGAGCAAGCATCCCATCGCAACCCAAACTTGCCCTTAATCTAAGCTGTACAGCAGATGATGCACCCAAGTCTCCAAGTCCTTTCCACCTACCCTCCTGAAAGACCCACCCTCTACAACCCCCCCTTCCCTCCGGAAAGAAGAGCTCGGCTTTCCTCCCAAAGTCCGAGCCGCGGGATCTGGTAGCAGGCAGATCCTGGCGTTTAAAGGGCTCATGTAAAGATGAACGTCTAGGAACACCCGATTCTTGTGCTCTGGCAATGTTCCTGCTTCACAAGACGACACAGAAAAGCCTCTAGGAGCCTGAAACCTTCGGTGTTGGAGCGTCTGCTGGTGTGCAACAGCACGCACCACAAGGCACACGTAATATGATATGCGGCATGTGCAGCTTCAGTGCCTATGGCCTATAGGGAAGATGGATGCCGGAAGTTCTAGAGTCGGGGCAGGTCGGCGGAACACCTTAATGTCTTTTCTTGCGGCTCCGGTCTCTTTAAGCTTGGTCCATGTCTGAGGGACACACGAAGGAACGAAACCTGGCCACCGTGCGCCCTGCCTTCTGGAGCCTTGATGACGGTTGTGACCGGGGTGCTGGGAACCTCGCGCGTGCTTCAGAAAACAAGGATTCTGACCATGCTTTCTCATGGACTGGCGGCTTGGGTCTACCGTCTCAGCTCAACATGATGCGCTGCTTCTCGGCTGCGCGGGTCTCATTTGATTTCCTGTGGGAGCTGGCTTCCTGCAACCATGGGACGGTACCAGCATCCACCTTCCAGCAAATGTTCATGAAGGAACCTGGGATTGCTTTCTGTCCTGGTTTCCAGATTTGAAGCACCTCTTGTCATGCTTAGTGCCTGAGTGCAATAGCCCGGGCCCAAAGATGTGTGGCACACAGGGCAGCAGCAAAAAGGCAGCACGATCTGATCTTTTCACGTAAGTATACAATAGTACGGTACAGGTCCCGGATACTCGCTTTATTGCAGGCGCATCCCCACAGAAAGGTTTCACGACACAGAAACCAAGCCCGTCGACAGAGCACGCACCCCACACTTCTACTGCCCATGAACTAGTCGAGGGCAATCTAAATCTGCAAGCCGCGCGCGTTTCCGGACTTATGCTCAACGGCCTGAAGAATTGCATGATCGACAGAATGGTTGCCAAAGAGACTGACGGAGTCGGAGTTGTCTGCAACAGGCTGGCTGGCCTGATCGGAACAGCCGTCTGCGACGCGGGCTTCAAGGTCTTTCTCAGAAGACAACAGTGCTTCAATTCACACCACCTGGCTAGGCTTGCTAGTGTTGCAGAGCAGCACTGGTCGGTGCCAAAATGGGAAAACGAGACCCAGTTGAACCATCTACCGGAAAGTCATTCAAAATCAAAGAGCCGAAGCATCTTCAGGCTTCTCCATGTGATCCCATGTTCCCACCTTTTTCGGTATGTTGCCGTGCTTCGTTTGAAGGCGTTGCAGGCGGTAGCGAATTGTCAAACATTTACGTGTCCCCCTACTGCAATGGTTTAATCAAAGCATTACGGACCATTGACATGTCGGTGCCCAAGCCCAAGCCGTACCCAGAGTTTCAGAGCTTGCTCGTAAGTAAACCTGCATGAGGGCCCCTCTGATTTTTAGGGGCCCTACCAGTAGCTGTGATGACCCCGATGCGTCACTGCATACAACTGAATTTTTGAGTCGGCTGCTGCCCTTTCTTACAGTCTTGTGCGGCTGCAAGTTTGTGTGCAAAGCTGCCTGGCTGGTCTGCTGGCTCGCCTCAGGTAGAAATGACCAACGACTACCTTGGACTCTGTGCCGACGCACCGTGCGCATGCAGAGGGCAGAGTGCAGGTAGCAGATCTGCCAGTGCATCCCATTCCTGTCTGTGCCTACGCTGCTACCTGGGACGAGAAAGCACACAGCTTTCGGAACCTGGCGCATGTTGAGGCCCACACAACGCTGTATGGATAAGACGTTGATTTCCTGAGCATCCAGGGCCAAGACATCACTTTATACAAATGCGCTGTAAACGCCGTGGGCAGAGACTCGCCAAGGCTCGTAGGCCGCCTGGAGCCGTTCAGATCGAACGCAGCCTGCAAGGAAGAGAAACAGTCAGCCAAGTTTGGGAACGTTCCTGCGACTAAAGAGCCTGAGACTATACTGCGCGCTCCAGTGTGGAGCCGGCATGTTTGGGAAACAAAGCTGATTCACTCCACGGAGCTGCGGCCTTCTGGATCGGCAGCGCGTGCCCATGCCGGAGCATTTCATTCTCGTGCACGATCTGCTCGTACTCCGAAGTGAGCAAAGCCTCTAGCGAAACGCTTTCTATGCCAACCCCAACTGCCTTTAGCTTGTGCAAGGCCGGCTGCAAAAGCACACGCGGCACGAGCACTCAGGCCTCTATCAAGCCATCTTGCCAGCGTCGGCGTGTACTGGCGTCTTTGTTTATAGCTTTTAGCAGTCCGCCCCCTCGTCTCTTCCTTTTTTGCGGGCCTCCGTTCCTACTATGAGCATCTGATCTTTCATCTTCCCATTCTGAACTCAAGCACCCTCAGCCAGGGTGCGACATACTGATGGAAGGAGCTCGATGCGTCTGGACATTGACCGACTTGCTCCTTGTCAGCATGCGTTGCTGCTCCCCCGGCGACGACGACGACGACTAATACGGCTACGACCACCACTCCTACCGCTTCACCTGCTACCTCTACGGCTGCTGCTACGACTACGACTACTGATAGGGTGTTCCCCCCCAATCACCCCCGCCGTGATGCTAGGAACACTATGGCTATGGATGTTACGATGTACTCGAGGGTTCGGGCAAGAAGTTGGTCACGGAACTGAGCAGTTGCAATATGCGACGTGCGAAGACCGCCTTCCGCCTCCTCCTCCTCCTCCTCCTCCCCCACTCCTACTACCACCACCACCTATGCCTTCTACACTACCCATTGCTGCTACCTTCTGCGGCTACCACCACCGCCACAGCCACACCACTGGCGCCACGACTACCACCTTCTGATACTGCTACTACGATGACGACTACGACAACGACAGCGCCACGATGCTCAGCATCGAACCCCTTTGCCTCCTGAACCCACATAGAAACTCTAGTAGACAGATTTTGTTTTTTTGCCTCCCCCCCCACCGGAGTGACTATTATGTTTAGGGATCGGGCAAGGAAGGGAAGGGACCCCCCCACAGGAGCATTAGTATTATTATCATTATTATTATTATTTTCGTGTTCTTTTAAAGAAGAGAAGGAAAATAATGATAATAATAATAATCATAATAGTACTGGGCGACGGGGGGGTGGAGACGCGAAAAAAAAAAAAAGCCCGTGGGAGGCTTGCCATGATTTGTTCGCGTGCTTCCTGTCGTCACCTGTAGGAAAGGGGAAGGTCTGGCAAGAATTGTACAAGCGACGACGACGGCCGGTACTACTGCTGCTTGTCCGAGAGTCTTCCGCCATCCTTCCACCGGGGCTGGACCAGCAGCAGGTTGCGAGAAGGCACTGTTGTCTGCTTTCGTTCTTCTGACATCCTCCTGATATCTTGCGTTACATGACGGGCACATTCTGGTGGAATGGTGGTGTTGCCCGACCATCTTCAGGCCTGCAGTCGCGTGTTCGAGCCAAAACTCCATGTGGATTCTCATGCCCGCTTCAGTAGGACGAGTGGTGGCTACCACTTGGCTACCTTGCAGCGCGAAGATGCGGATGCATCAGCAGGGTTCTTTTTGCCCAGAGACGTCTCTCTCGGCTATGCGCTGGCCTTTGCCATGAGCTCACAGTAGGTGCTGTACATCTTCCGCGACTTTGCTATCCTGACCAACATCACCCATGCTTGGTTCCGGGAGTTTAAGAAAGCCTCGAGTACTGCCCAGCTAAGATCACGAACTTCACGAGTTCTCCTACCGCCTTGATCGAACTCCCCTCTCTACCAAGCATTTTGCACTCCCGACTCAAGCTCCGCTTTTGGTTAAGTGTTTCGGATAACTCACTCTCTCGAGAACTTGCGCCGTGGGGCAACAAGGCCGTCAGCAGCACCGACGCGACGAGGAGCCTTTGGTAGTGGCTCGGAGGAAACGACCAGGCTTCGTTTATTTCTAAGTAGAATAGGATTTATGATTTCAGTGACCGCGACCTAGTCAGCTTGCGAAATTGCAAGACGTGACTCTGCTCCCTGAGCCTGCTACGCTTCTTCTGATGGCATCCCACGGCAAGACCTTTGAGTCAAGGGCCCGGTTGCCAGAATGGGCTGCTGGCGCCAGGACTGGAGAAGCTCCTGCTGTGACGGTAGGCAGCTGTTATGGCTATCGTGGAAGGAGCAGCAGCAGTAGTCGGTGTCGGTGTAAACCTACCATTACTATCAACCCCCAGTTCCCTGCAAACTCTGTGTCGGCAACTCTGCTGTATTGCCTAACCTGCATCTTTGTAAGCGAGTTTGCGTGATCCCCTGAGCCCGCTTAAACGATAGCTGTGATAGAAGCTCAGTCTTCGTAAATCCCAATCCCAAGTCTTGAAGGCTTGAGGACATCTGACATGGCTGAGACTTTGGACTTTCAAACCGACTCGCGGGATGAGGTCTCTGTGCCGCCCTCGATGAGCTTGGGCTTTAGGATCTTATGTCGCGCCAAGGGCCCCGCACGCATCTTCTCGTCGCCTCGCCCTTCCAGCACCTGTGCCAAGCTTGGGACCAAACCTCTCCATTGCCTACATACGCATAGCAAGTCTTGACCCGGGTTGGGATGTTTGATACCCCAAACTAGGCCAGTATGTTTCTTGAATGCAGTGGACAAGACGACAAGTCAGCCGCAAAAACCTCTACATACAGAGGCTGCTCGGATGCCCGTCGACCGCTATGGAAACATGTCCAGAGCCCGGACCTTCCAGTTTCGGAGACGTCCGAGACCCAGCAGCCAACAATCGGAGAACGCCGATTATGCAGCCTTTTCTCTGCATCCAGGTCTGAGCGCGCACCGTGCAAGTTCTTAAGCGCCTCCTGCAATCTCCTGAAAGTTTTAACGGCGCCCCCAACATCTGAGACCCTGAAGTCTGACCTCGGGGAGCGACGCCAAGGAGGAGCCAACCACGGCGCTCAGTATGCCTTGAGCCAGGAGGGAGACGGAGAGAGGATTCCTCTCGTTTTGACATACCTGATCCTACAACCCAGACAGAGATCCAAGAGCCGTGGATTCGATGTGGTGGCGCGAGGAGGTCTCAGAACTGACTCGCTTCCAAACTGTAATATTAGCTATTCACCTGCTGTGACTATGGCAGGACTACTGCTGGGCTATGGGTCCAGGCTAGGATGTCACGTAGGCCTGCTAAGGCCTGCTAACAGTCAAGGCACTCCAAGGCGCGCCGAAAAGCGAGGATGCCAGCAGGAAAGGCCCAAACGGAACCTCGACTGCCTTTGTAGCGGATGGGTGAGAACAGGAAGTCTAGGCCACCTCTGCTCATACATCTTGCCCGTACATCAACAACTGCCAAGGCGGAAACAAAAACACACACGAGTACAACTGCAGTGCATGATGCCAAGCTGCTGCAAGCCCCATAGCCTTCGCAGTTGTGGGTATAGGCGCAAATCGCACCATGCCTCATCTCAGCTACAATGTGCATGCCGTCGTCACATCGGATATGGCCTTCAGTAACAGCCCTGAAGCGAAGCCACCTGAAGGCATTGCAGCTGCGTGGGGTTTCGTTTTCGGCCAATGATACCTTCAACTGTCTGGCTAGTTGTCTCGAGGATTCGGGGAAATCCCAAGCGCCACCAGCTGCTTCCAAGATACAGGTAACGGTGAACGGTTCGGTTTTCACCGCCTCACCAATACAGATCCCGCAATCTTCCCAAGCTTGCAGCGTGCCACGCTCGTTAAAGTCACCCGTTGGAACGGTTCAGCCCACGTCCGGCTTAGCAATCTTCCTGCCCACTAGCCTGGCCGCTACTTGACCACTCCCCACATACACGAAACTGCAGTTGGAATCCCAGCAGCGCATCCATAACCAGGTCTGTTACGACCCGCACTTAAGTCGAACCTGGGCCACAGCCTTGAAGACTGCAAATTTCGCCACAATGTTCTCTTTGACATACCTAGGGCTCGCTCTGGAGACTGAGTTGGAGGGAAACCCAATCAATACTGGAGACTGGAGCCAACTCGTGACCTACGAGTCGTGTGACGACTAATGTGGCAAGCCGTTCTCCAGGCCACGGTGCTGTCGAAGCAGCGTACGGCCAAGAAGAAATCCTACAGCACCTCATGGGCACTTTGGGATGCTCCAGGCTGATTAGGTCGGAGATCCTTGCGCTGTTGCAGTTGATGCTCATGACATTTCTAGCAGCAGGAGCAAGAGTGGGAATAGTAGCAGTAGCAGCAGCTCTCGTCCTCGTTGGTCGTCGTCGTCGTAGTCGTCGTCGTAATAGTAGTAGTAGTAGTAGTAGTAGTAGTAGCAGTAGTAGTAGTAGTAGTCGTCGTCGTCGTCGTCGTCGTCATAGTAGTAGTAATCGTCGTCGTCGTGATAGTAGTAGTAGCAGTAGCAGTAGCAGCAGTAGACAAAGTATTAATATGTAATGATAGTAACAATGATAACAATAATAGTAGTAATAGCAATAGCAATAGCAATAGCAATAGCAATAGCAATAGCAATAGCAATAGCAATAGCAATAGCAATAGCAGTAGTAGTAGTAGTAGTAGTAGTAGTAGTAGTAGTAGTACTAGTAGTAGTTGTTGTTGTTGTTGCTGTTGCTGCGGTGGTAGCAGAAGTAGTAGTAGTAGTAGTAGTAGT